AAAATAACATTAATAATGTAACATAAATTAAGTCATTAGTACGATGGAATTCAACCCATTTATTTGTCCCCGTTATCATTTTCCTTCTTAATTACGCAATTAATTTACGTTAATTAGTCAAAAGCAAACTTAAACAAGGAGATGCCCACTGCAGGAGGACCAAGATTCCCTCTGCATTCTTTGTGGAAAAAAATATGAAGAAATTACCGACCATTTGCTGTTCTCCTGTGAGGAATCGTGGAAAGTATGGTCTTTATGGTATGATTGGATTTGTGGAAAATATGAAGAAATTATTGATCATTTACTGTTCTCCTGTGAGGAATCCTGAAATGTATGGTCTTTGTGCTATGATTGATTTTGTGGAAAATATGTAGAAATTATTGATCATTTACTGTTCCCTATGTGGAATCGTGAAAAGTATGATCTTTGTGCTAAGATTGATTTTGTGGAAAATATGTAGAAATTATTGATCATTTACTGTTCTCTTGTGAGGACTGGCGGAAACTATGATCTTATCTCTCTAAGACTGGTGGAGAGTTGACACTTGACACTGAGAATTAGACATTTGCGCTTATCTTTTCAACACTGAATTATTTATTTATTTATAAAAAAAAATTAAAATATTTTAATATTAAAAATATTTAAAAATATAATTATAATTATTAAATATATAAAAAATAATATAAATTTTAATTTTATTAAAATTTTCAAATAATTATTTAATATCTTGATTTTTTTTTCTCTTCACTTATTTATTTATTTTTATTTTCTTTTTGGTACTTATCACGCGGGTCAGTGGGTCACGAGAATTAGATATTTGTGCGAATTAAAGCCAACTATCATCCCTTGTGGAAAGAAAGTTTAATTTAATCTTTTTATTATGAAATCGCCTTTCTCCCTATACTTTTCAAAAAGTACTCAATTTAGTCCCTCCGTCCGTTTCATGCCTAACGGCGTTTTTCTGGATCGTTAAAAGCCAGACGATGAGACGTTTGCGAGCCTTCTTAATTTTTTTCATAGTCTCGAACGGAAGCTTCTCGAGCTCCACGTACATCAACAAACGGTTTGGCACGTGCGGAACCTTTCGCTATAGATATAGTTGTAGTTGTGTAAGAGCAAGACCTTTAAATTCATTTTTAAAAAATATTGGGATTCATCTTTTATAAAAATTAAAAAATTAATTATTTTTTTAAATTATAAATTAAAATAAATTATTTTTTAATATTTTTTGTTAAAAAATATTA